AGGAACCTGGCTGAAAGAATAAGGCAACCTCAACTAAACAAAGTCACTATAGCCATGATGGGACAGCATGACTCTTCATCAGAAAGTTCAGATAGTGATGACTCAGAGATGGAAGTTACTAATTCTGATACTGGTTATGACACAAGCAATACTTTCAAAACAGACAGTAATTACAGTCTCAATGAACCTTCAAGCTCATCTGAAAGTGATGACACAGAAACAAATAATGAACTGGATCAAAATACAGATTCAGAGGCAAACATTATCTCTGATAGAGAAGATGAAATATCTAGTTCAGACGATGAGTCAATAATTATTGAAAGCGAAATTATTGATATAACCCATTCGGATAATGAGTCAATAATTATTGAAGGTGAAATTATTGACATAACCCATTCAGATAATGAGTCCCTCATAGTGGTAGATTCATCCCAAGATGAGAAAGAAAATACAAGTGACACAGACAATGAGTCAGTCATATTTTTAGATGAGACTAAATCATCTCTGAACAATTAGATTCCCAACAAGAAGTGGAACCACAATATATAGAGTTAGAAGATGGAATAACTATCAGAGTGGAACAACAACACAAAATTTTCAACCATTCAACTATAGCCAACACAGGAAGAGCTAACATGAAACAGATGTTGTGGCTTCCACTAGTGATGACTGTAATGGTGATCTGTGGCTGCATCCACTCAATAACAGTCCCAAAACCATCCTACCAAGGTGCCCATGTTACAAGTGCAAAACATTACCTTAACATTTAAACCACCGTTATACTTTTGTTCTAACCAACTACCAAGCCAGGCATTTGATCTAGCAGATGAGCCAACTTGTAATATAGAATCACAAGAAACCAAGACAATTACAGCTGATATCTATGAATTGAACTTGGAAGAAATTGAAACAAGAGCAGTAAAATGTCAAGTGTATCTAAGAACTAATTTTTACACTTACTATTTCTTTGGAGCAAAGAAGAGGAGGATTGTTAACTCAGTTATCAAAGTAACTCATGATCAATGCAGACAGATGATAAAAGACAAACGATCTTTTCAAGGAAAACCTTTAATGGTGAAAAGAAACACTTGGATCCACCAAGATCAGTTTCCTGCTGCCTACACATGGCCAACAACGACCAAGGTGCTGGAATACACCACAATTATCCAGTTTGGCAAAGCATATTGGCAACCTCCTAATATGAAAATTACAACTAATCTGGACTACCTGGAAGATTGTTTACCAGGGCAGTCCTATTGTGAAACAGAAGAGCAATTATTGTCTTTAGGAACCTCAAGAATAATTACACACTTGGGCAACAATCACCATGGATAAAAATTAGCAACAGAATTAGTTGTATCAAATTTGCTGGTCACTATTCTTGTCCAGGGTATTCTATTCTGGACATCCCTTATCAAGATAAGTTTATTGATGGAATTGGTGGTCCTGGAACAAAAGTACTAGTACCACTGGAGGAACAGAGTTTAATACAGGAAACAAGCAAGGAACACCTATACAATTTGCTACAATATCAGAAGATTGGCAAAAATGAAGAAAAACGACTATTAAACTATCCCAATAAAGTTAAAGAACAAATTATACTATACAAGCGAAACAACCCCTTACCAAGTCTTAACCAATGGTACAGAGAAACAAACACAAAGTATAAACTAATGAGAAATAAAGGCACACTCAAGGAAGTTGTGATATATCATCTACAACAACCCATTAGTCCATCTTACTGGGAGCTGGATAACTATTATATCCAAGAAATGCTGCAAGCAGTCAATTGGACAAGGGCAACAAGACAATCTGTCACGATTTCAAAATATGTATACAGTGAGAAAAGAATCAAAAAGAAGGTATTACCAACATTGGGCATATGGTATAAAGGACCACCAGCCAGAGAATTTAAGATTACCTATGAAGGAATTTATTTTACTCTACACATGAGAATGGCTAAAAAGCAGATGAAGAAGGAAGCAAAACTGAAACATAAGATAAGTAAAAACCCATACCACAAATTCCCATTGGAAATGAGAGAAGCTGCCCAAACATCTACCTTACTACATGGTATTGATTCAAATTTTAAGAATTTAAAAAAGTTTACCCAACAGCTGTCAAGTCTTCTCTGCAATCAATTTGTTCAAAGAAGCAGAATGATGGCATTACTAGCAAATTTGGATCCTCAATTGACCACAGTGTTAACAAATGAGTTGGGAATGCACAGTAGTCAGATGGGAGAATTAGCTATAATTAAACAATGTTCACCAATAGCCTCAACAGAAGTAGTTTGTGACTTAAGCATGATAAAAAAGAATAACAAATGTTCTCAATTTTTACTTGTCACCATGAACAACCTGCTTTTCCAAGTAGAACCAGTTACTCATGTTTTACAGCAAGTCAATCCTGAAGAGATTACCTATAATGAGTGTAAGTCTAACAAGTTATTCTACAAAACAACTCACAACCCATTAAATCCTATAAGAAACCAACCAATGAAAGACAAAACATATGTGTATTATTCAGAAAGAGGATGCAGATTTCACACTGTGTCTGCAAAATCCATGCAGTTACATATCCACAATCACCTTTCTGAACCAAAAATTGAAATTGCCAGATTAGCTGATCTACTCCACCATGGGGTAAAGAAGGATATTGCATACCAGCACTCAAAAATTAAGCAAGTTATCAGTTCACTGGAACAGAAGCAGGCAAGGTATGATAACATGGTCACTGTTGCAGAGAAAAATGGCATTGTACCCAATTTATCTGGAATTAAACAGTTTTTCCATAGTTGGTACTATAAACCTGGGAAAACACTTTATGTTATCATACGAAATATTTGTTTGAGTATTGTAGTGTCAATGGTATGTATCATCATTTTCAACTATATTATTGGAAGAAGAAAACAAAGAGAAGAAATTGCTACCCCAAGTGAGAGCACAGATAACTCTCCTGAAAACCCAAAACTAATGAAACAAAGTTGTAGCTTTAGTCAACATCAAACTAATGAAGAAGAACAACCACCTGTAATTCTCATTAAATCAAGATGAAGGGACTCATCTTCACAAAGAAGGGGGAAGTTGTACAACTTTGGTTATATTTTACATCCTTGAACTCTATTATTTTATGCAACATATACATGTACATCTTAAAACCTACGCAAGAAAATGCTATAACATTGGCCAAACATAAGTCTGATTAGTCAGCTTGAAGGCTCATCTTTAATTACCAATAAAGGTTTGGCCAAGTTATAATTTAATTAACTTGCCTAGGGTGTGGCCAAGTTATAATTCAATTAACCTTCCTAAATGTTGAACCTTGTAACATCCTGTTACTAAAGATAAATATGAACTACACATTTTGGCAACTGTAAAGTGATGATTGGATGTCAGAGACAAACCTCAAAGTATATAAATCCTCATTATTCTCATTTGGCATGCAGCTTCCATCTGGACCCAAGGACCTGGGAAAATCATCTGGAAACAACCTCCACTGGAACCATCCATCTACTCCTCAACATTGGAAGACAGTTTGGTAATTTGGCAACCTGCTATTACAAACTATCTACTCTGCTATTGAACTCTCATATTGTTACTTGCTTAAGTATTATTATTGCGAATAAACCATTTTAATTTAAACATTTGTTTAAAGGTTCGAGTAGAACCAGTATTGTTATAACTTGCAAACGCATAGATTTTGCCAGCAAGAGCAGTACAATATACTCAAATGTGAAACATGGAAAAATTTGATGATTGGATAATTAATTTATCTTTATAAATAATCATTAATTGGTGTTATTGTATAGAACTAACCTAAGTATGTATTCTTATTTTCTATACTAAATCATTGGCAAACTAGTGAAAGAACTATTTATAGAACTAATTATAGCTATTTGATTGACAATTATCAAAAACACTCAAATTATGTAGACCTGTATAGTAGTAAGTTAATAACTTTAGTAATCATTACTAATAACTCATTTATTGCATTAAAAATAATTATTCTCCTATGCCTATTTTATTGATAAATAAAATTTTGTCCACACATTTCATAAAATTTCTTAGCTAAATACAGATTTGGGCAACTGATCAGATGCTGAATTAAGAGAATTTCAAAATGTTAAACATGTTAAAAGTGCAAAATTTACTTCAATAAGTTAACAGACCCTTCAATACATCCCTTCAATCATGTTATCAGTTGTTAAGAGTGCATTTCTAGTCTTCTAAACCAGAAATATTCATCATGTAGGGGATTTATTCCAGAACATGTTCTTATCAAAACAAATGTACATGAATTGAATTCTATTAGATAAAAAAAATGTTTATCATATTTAGATTTACAAATTGTGAACTATCAACCTTTAAAAGGGTATATAAACCCACAAAATTAACAGTTGATAGTTCAGTTCTCTATCTGTCAGCTGGTTGTTTAAGCTAGTTAGAAAACTGAAGTATTAACTGTTAATTTAAGGTTTATATATTCTTCAAAGGGTTGATAGTTCACAAATTTCAATGTTCACATAAAGAAAAGTAACATTTTAAGACAAAGTAAAGTTGTAAATATGGTCATGCTGTTTATTGTTTTCCTCTTCTAAATAATAATTGAATTTCACAGGTTGGACAGTTGCATAAGATGTAACAATTTTAATACAGCAAGTCCAACAATCAAGAAAACATGTGGATTATATATTTGACCCATTTTGTATTCTACTTTAATAAATCTAATCAACTATCCTGTTTAAAAAACTTAGCATCAGTGTATGCAGAGGAAGCATGTCTAAATAATCCATATTAATAGTATTGTGTATACAACACTATTGAATAGTGATTTAAAATCTAAAATTCCAAATAAAACCATAATTAAAGTAATATCAATTTAAGCTAATAGATTGATATATTAATCCAATTGTAATATTAAAGTTATTTTGTAATTTAATAAAACATGTGGCTGCATATTGTAAAAGCATAGCCTTGGGCGAAAGTAGGTGAAGCCAGCTAATCTATAGCAGTTTTATCAGCACTCTCCAATACTAGTTCAATACTATCTGTTTCAGAATAATACTGATGAATGGATGTGTACAATATCTCACATTGTTGTGGAGCTCATCTGCTATATTTCTTCTCCTTTTATTTTTCAACAGATATTATTGTTTCTATCATGAAGAAAGCAATCATGCTCAGTGTCTTCTTAACAGCTTAATGATGAAAAGATGATAGAAAGATATTTTTTTGTATTTTTCTGGTTGCTGGCTGTGATTTTCCTATTTCTTCTTTGTTAATCTTTTTATAGATGTCAATGTTACCTTTACACCATAAATAGAATGCTGCTGCACCTGCACTTGCCTCCTTGACTTCTTGCAGATTTAATTCACAAATTATTTGTTCAGCTCTGAGAATGATTGCTGGATCTACAGTTAAGATTTTAAGAGCTTTAATTTTCTTTAAAATAGAATAAGAGCATGCATATTTAATAAAAACTTGACATTCTTTCCATTCATCAGTTTGTCCTTCATCAATTGATAAAATCAATAATGTTGATTTTATAACCAGATGTACAACAGCAGGTGGTTGATTATACTGATTTAATTCTGCAATACATTTTGCATCAAGTTTTAAAATCCTGTTTTGCAAACCACAAATTTTTTCTAAATTTGCTTTTAATTCATTAGCTTTTGATAAATCTTTAATTAATAAAGGATTTATTGGTTTAACAGAAGCTTTGTCTATAGCTACTTTTAACTTTTTATAATCTTTTTCTTCATATGCCTTTTTCAAATCTACAATATTTTTAATGATATTTCTAACAATTTCAGTATCTAGATGTGAAATTTTAATTACCTAATGCCTTCTTTGCTACATCTTCCTGATTAGTATGTTGTTGCTGTGATTTCTCTTCCTTTTCATCATTTCTATTACCTGGCTTTCCTGCAGTTTCTTCTGAATTATTTACAATTTTTTTTGACATTTCTTTACCTTCTTCATTTTCATTCTCCTTTAGAAAGAAATAATCCTTTTACAAAAGAGAATAAATCATTATTTACAAATATCTTACATTTATTTTAAGAGTTTCATCCTCTCCAACATCAGAGTCATCAGCTGGTAGAAATTCACTGATATAGATAACTTCTTCTATTTTTAATGACCAATCTATTTCACCAATTTCTTCTATATTAGTAGCATTTTCAATTGTCTCAAATTGAACATTTGGCACATATTTCATTACTTTAATAAAATCATTTTCATCAGATACTTCATTTTTAGAAATATCAATTGTTTGTGAAGCATTTATCTCCTCTATATTTTCATTTTTACTAATAGCTTGACTATTCTCAATTGCAGGTTTATCCAGTTTACTGTTAATTTCACTATTCCCTATTACAGGTTCAGCCAGTTCACTAGTGGTTTCACTATTCTCTACTGCAGGTTTATCCATTTTCATAATTGGATTTTTAAAAATTTTTATAAATTAAAATTTCAGTAAAAATTTTTGCATTTTTATAAATTTTTGCTCTAATAACTAAATCTCCAAAATTTTCACCAGTGTCAATTTCACATTCCCATATATCATTAAAGAGGTCAAAATGAAAAATTTCATTTACACAACAGGCAATCATTTCATCAGCTTTAAAACCTTCAATCTGTATTAATACTTTTTCATTTGAGTAGAGTTTTCTAAATGGTTGAAGAATTTTATGAGTTTCACTAATTCTCCATTTATCAGTAACAATTGGAAATTGAAATGAATTTGTATTAGATTCAATTGCATAAAAATTAGAATTATAGATCAATTCATAATTTTTTCTGGAATTTAATTCTTTTCCTTCAATTTCAAATTTATACATTCCTGGTAATGGAAAATTGATGTAGAATGTAACATCTTCATAACTATTTACAAAGAATGAATACATAGATAAATCATGTCCTTCATTGTTTTCATCATACCATTTTAATTCAATTTTAAATTGACATGATATCTTTTTAAATATCTTAAAATGTATATTTTTAGAACATTCTTGATAAGATTGGAAATTATCTTCCATCCTTAATTTTAACCTAAAGAAATGTGTTTGTTTGCCAATAGTTCTAGTTCCATTATCTGGAAATTTTAAAGTATAATTTGCTTTTTCTTCACTTTTAACAATATGTGAAGTAATAGTAGGAAAACTTTTTTCTGGTACTTTTTCAAAAAATTTAAAACATAAACAATTACAATTATGTTCAATTTTTCGTTTTTGTCCACAAATATTTATACCATATTCTCCTTCAGATGGAAAAAAGAATCTTATAGGTCCTAGACCATTTTCAAATATTGAGATGCAATATTGTTGCAGAAAAGAAGAAGAATACTTAATACTTGTAATTTCCACAGAAAACTCATATTCATTATCATCTCCATTAAAATGAATCTCTGTATAATTTTTATTTCATGAAGTATACATACCAAGTACAGGGAACATTTTTGTAAAATTGCATTTTCTAGCTATATAATTTGGTCCAAGTTCAGATAGATTTGTGTTTGGAAATGGAGGAATATATATATTATCTCTTTTTGTGTATTTAATAATGTAGTCAGTACACCATTTGCATGCAACAGGTTTTTTGAAAACTATTATTTTACAAAATGGTTAAATGAATGTAGATTTTTTTAGGATGTGGTAGAAAACGGCCATAAATGTATGGTTTTACCCTAACCCTAACCCAGCCCTTGTTTTTGGCTAATTTTTTTGAATACCCCTAACCCTTAGATGGGACCCTCCTAAGAACATATCAACAGTTATCTTATTCCTCCTGACCATTTCCCAGGCTGAAATCTAACTTTCAAATATTTCATTTATGGCTGTTTTCGACCAGTCCCATTTTTTTAGTATTATGTAATTTCTGAGAAAAAGTCTCTTTAACAAAAATTACGCAATAAAGTGTTATTTATTAATAAAATCTTTTTTTGGGACTTCTTTACTTTCTAATTTAAAACAGTTGGTTTCTCCAAAAATATCAATAGTTTAGAATGGATTCTAATTGGACAATTTTTCAATAGTATTGTTTATAAATGTTTTAAAAAGTATTTTTTAAATATACATTTCTCAACTCATTGTTGACAATGACAAATGGCATTAAAACTTTTCAAGAGACAAAACATCTTCTGTGCAAACTATGTTACTGCAACATTGCTAATGTCTTGTTAATGCCTTGTTGTCATGTTGTAAGCTGTAAAAACTGTATATTAAATCTACCAAAACCTAATTGTCCATCTTGTAGGTCATTTATAAGAGGTTATGTGCCTATTTTGAGTGATTTAGAGGATATTGACTTTGGTGACTGTACTTTCCTGCTGAGGTTGTAGGTAAGTACTGGTCCAAATAGAACCGAACCAGGAGTAAGCCACTTAGAAGGGAGATTAGAATTGATGAAGGATGAATATAGAACCAAAACATAAGAATAATATAACTGTATTCTAAAGTAATACTAGACCTGTTCACTAAGGGAGTTGATTCAGGACTGAATGCCTGTTACTGCCTATGCCCTGCTTTTATACAATTACTTATCAGTTGTTTATGCCTTGGCTGTCAATAACAAGGGTCTAACCCCAGATAAGGATTGTTCACAACAAACAGGGTTAAGGGTTATCATATTATGCAATAGTGATGTAAACAACAACAACTTTGTGTAGGTTTCAAGGGTCAATTCTTACATCATATTTATGTAAATAAACACTTGTAACATGTTTGTTATGTAACATTTTATTCTTTGCCTATAAAAGGGGTTGATTCTGGCAGTTGGGTACCCTTTACGCTGGAGGCAACATCTACTTCAACACTTCTACCATATAGTAAGTATCATTCATAAAATATCTATAAACTATAGTTCATAAGTGTACAGTGACTAAATTTTAAATATTAAATGTTATTGTTTAGGGAGTTGGCAAAAAAATTCATGTTTCAACTATAAAGTGTGATCAGTGTGTTTTCAATGTATATATGTGAGTATTGACATATAAAAGAAATCAAAATAATGTTTGCAAAAATGACTTTTTGGAAAGTCTACCCACAGAGGATTATTGTTTTTTATTAATTAATTCTAAAGAAATATATGAGGATTTCCATTCTCTGGAGATTCTAAGTTCTGAATATTAAAAACCACTACTAAACCATTTTATAATTCTTTATTTGTCAGACATTTTAAATAGCAAGTCAGTGAAATTTATTTAGAATGAATAAAATACATTATTGCTTGGATACAACTCATCAAAAAATCAACTTACACTATGGGAATATCTACTTTAAGAATAGAGACAGTAATCCGAAATGATATATGCTTTTGGAAACCAAAGGATGTATACATTTTAATCTGTATGGGAATAATAATTGTGATTTATCTCTATCAATTGATTATCAATTATATAAAAAGTTCATAAGACACCATTAATTGATTATCTTTGCTCTGGAACTTTTCACAAGGAATGTGCTGGAAGGCAAACCATAGCTATAGTATACATTTTACTTGTCAGAGAAATTGCTTCATAAAGAGATCAAATTCATTTAGATAATTCATCAAATTTTCAATTTTACAATAACTCTTAATTGCATTATCATCATCATATTTGAATATGATGGCTTGGACACCACTTGTCTATATTGGTTGAGTACAATTATAATAAAAAATTGAAAAATATTTTTAATATAACAAACTTTCCAAGGAATTTCAAATATTCTAAATGATACTAGTGATAAAGCACCATTAAGTGGACTAATTACTGGAATTATTCTATCTATTGGAAATATTTGTCATTTGAAAAGTCAATCACTATCAACAATTTAAATTATTCAATTCATTCAATTGTTACTGATGCTAAAATAGTTTTTAACATATTTAAAATTTGCCATCAAAATCAACAGTTTTTTAAAAAATCTATCAACTTTGAAAGACTTCTTTCAGAGGTAAGAAGAGAAAAATATTTCTAAAACAGTGGGAATTATTCCATTTCTACACTTTTCTCCTTACCTAATCCTATATTTAAAATTTAAGAAAGTATATATGAAAACAACAGTCCAAATTATAAAAATATTTCTATAATAAAAGAATACATTCTGGTGTCTTTTAATTGGTTGAAAACAAGATTCCTTTACTCAATTTTTCATGTAAAATCCTATTTCCAGAACAAATACACATTGTTTGAATAAATTATAATTTAATATGAAGTATAGAAGATTCGAGAATTGATTATTTGAATATATTAGTGATAGTCATTATTAGAACAATAATTAAATTAATTTTTTAGAGGTTTTGTCCTCTTTATATTTTTCATTTTCAATTAGTCAATCTTTTTTTTATGTGAAGCCATTTATGAAAATTGTCAAGTTTCATAATTATAGTAGCTACTTTCATACAACAATTTCAAAATTGTTTTAAACATAATAACTGTAAAAAAACAAACTCAAGAAAACAAAACTTCATAATATGAGAAATTCAATACTACTCAGTTCAAGATGGCTACATGTAACAATTGTTGTGTTAAATAGTTGTATTTATTGTCTGTCATCGAATTATTGTGTAGAAAAAAAAATTGGAATTTACAATGAAACCAAGTTTCCAGTTTCACAATTTTCTGATCATTTGCCTTATGGAGATAGAGAACCATATCATGTAAGAATTTCAGATGGTAGATTAACATCATGGATGACTGTTCATTATGGAAATGGATGGGTACAAATATATCTAGGTCAATATGAAATAAAAAATATTTCACAATAGAACATTTAATTGCTTTTCAGGTGAGATCTATGATATTCACAGCCTTGAAATTAGAGGAGATTGTTGGTGCAGTGATGGAAACTACGAACCATATTATACATCAACTTTCAAATTATCATATTCATTGAATGGAGGTCAAATATTTAATTATGCAGATGAAAACGGAGTAGATAAAGTTGTTTTAAAAATTTAAATTTTAAAAGTAATTTTAAGGATTAATAATTAGGTTATTATTATTTTTTTTTGAAACAGATCTTTAATGGAAATACAATAACAACATGGAATATAATTAATAAAATTAATTTCAACAAGAAAATTCAAGCTGATACATTAAGATTAACCCCAATGTCTGGTTTCTATGCAGCAACAGCTTTTGAATTATATGGATGTGGTAAGTTTTTCTTTGTTTTTTGTCTGTATTTAACCAATTCATACCATTCCGTATTTGCTATACGTAGAGTGATATTAGTTGGAAAACCCATACTCATAAACTCTCCTTTAAGAGCATTATGAACATCAGCGAGTTGTTTTTCAATATCTTTTTTTTTTAAATAACAAGACTAAAGTTAATTTGAATTTAAAAATTTAAATATAACCTGGATTATATATTGCATGAATGATAACATTTTGTTTTCAGAAACAAATTCCCATATTTCCAATTTAAATACTGATGAACAGTGTCTTGTAGGGA